GATGAAGAGGAAGAGTGACACCTTCTGCATGTAGGTAGAGATGGTGCTTAGCACCAATTTGAAATGTGATGATGGGTCTTGAGTTGGGAACGCTGACACTAACAACAGTGAGTTTGAATCCCATCATGGCCTCTTTATTACCCTTTTCCCAGCCTTGAATCAGGTTTGGACAGTGAATCCCAAGTGTTCTTTCCCTCTCTTCTCTCTTCATTCTATGGATATGATTTTTCTTCAAATCCCTGCTAGCTACAATATCAAGGATACTCCTTATAAGCCAAGGGAATTTCTAGCTACTAGACCATGAGTCCCAGCACTCAGCCTTCATGGCAAGGGCCCCATGAACAGAGATTTTAGACTCTCTTTAACCTCTGAGCTTCAGTACTTCCCACGATGACTGGGACCATTAAATTCTACAGCCAGCCTATGCCCGTCGTATTTCCCGGATTGATGCTCTAGGAGAACAGATGGGCTCTGCCAGGATCACATCCCACATCTCGATTTATGGAAAGGCTTTGCCAGATGGACCAGCATGACAGATTCAGACAAGAAATCACCTTGCTAGCACCCGCTAGACAGTTGAGTTCAATGTCTTAACATTTGAACTCAGAAATGCATCAGTCTGCCTGCGGTGACTGGTTTAATGGTCTGTGGAGGAGCTCAGGGGCTGTCTGCCTTCGTCTTCACTGATGGGTGGTCTGCTTTGTTTAGCTAAGGTACAGGTGAACATGCCTGACAGGTCCTGCTGCTTCTGGATACAGCTTTCAAGCTGACATGGGATACAAGTTTCTAAATGCCAGGTCTGGCTTTTGTTGCCCTATTGTCCTAAATCCCTGCCTGCCCTTTGCTTGGAAAGTGCCACTCCTATTCTATTGGCACATCAGTGTCCATTCCTCCTCTTGCTTTATCTGATACGTAGGTACTCTCTCCCCTCTGTGAGCCTAGCCACCACTGGCCACACTGTACTCCATAGGAAGCACCTCTCTGTCTCTCTGACCAGAATGCACCAGGCAGGTAAATGTCTAGCTCATGTCTGCAACCAAAGAGCCCATCACATTCCCACATTCCAGATTGGTGCTAAGTACCATCTCTACCTACATGCAGGAGTGGGTCACCCTTCTTCTTCATCCAGAATGTTGCCCTGGTATTGCCCTGTGGTATTCACTGGGTGTGGGATTCTTGGGGGATGTAGTTCCAGTGATGAGCAGCTGGTGTGCCTCTGCAGCTGTGAAGAAAGCCAGGTCGTTTTGAGCTAGCAGTCAGACACAAGATAAACTCTATCATCTCTGTTTCAGGATCATGAATGGGTTTCTTGTTGCCTGTGATGGAGCCACCAACTCCTGTACCCATGGGTTTTCAGAATAATGATGCCATTTTTGATTCTTTTCTTGGCTTCAAAAGCCCCAGATATTTTGTGGCCTCTGTCTTGGCAAGTTCTGCTTCATGTACAAAGGATGAAGCCCCATAAATATAGATAGATGAAGGGAGTCCCCTTAGTAGTGTGGCCCCAGGGCGGAGCTGGCTGATGCCCATAAGAGCGTCTGACATCCAACTGCCCTTATGTTAGCCCAGCTATGGGCATTTGGCCATCTCACCTCTTGGACTGGCCCCAAAACCCTGGAATTGCTTGAGATTTTATAGAGCTCACATAGAGCTGTGGTCATTTTAAAATCTATAGGGCATCTTCCTGTGGAGGAGGATATGGAAGACTAAGTAGTAAATACTGAACAGACACACCAGGCGCATCTGTGAACTGGATGCCTTGCAAATGTGCCTTATGGGTTTTGTGTGACTCCTGGGTACCAACTTCTTTATTTTAGTTCTTCCAGCATTGTAATGTGTGATCAGTTTACCTCAGGCCAAGGAAACGACACAAATTGGACCTGGATGGAGATGAGAGTTAACAGTGGAGGGAGAGGGAAGATGGTTTTGAACTTAATCTGCTCAGAATAATGGTAAGGAGACCCGAGAGAGGAAAGAAGAGGGAAGCCATGAATGTCTGGAGCTATTTAGACTAGAAGGCTGGCCGCAGGAGAACTTTCTGTGCCTGGGAATGGTGAATTCACTTAAGTACAGGTTTAGTCATAGACATTAGCATGGTACTTGGCAGGAGCATAAATATGCTTCTATTTTCTCTGTGTCTATCCTTCCCAGAATGCGATTAGGGGTTTTCAGCATGCTTGAGGGCAGTGGTGAGGTCTCGTTCTTGTTCTGCAAATTCCTAATCAAAATTGCCTAGTACGGAGCTGAGGATGTAGCATGGGTGTTAGTGTGGGTACCTAGGATACAGGAAGCTCTGTGTTGGATGCTCCCTGCCAGACAGTCTGGCTGTGGTGGTATATATCTGCATTCCCCATTACTCTATCAGAAGTTGATGGTCATCCTCGGCTACATGGAGAGCTTGAGGCCAGCTTGTCTCAGAAAGGAAAACAAGTATACCTAGTAGGCAAACAATGAATAAATACAAAATGGACAACCAGGCTCCCCATTTAATGAGATAATAATCTCATTAAAATGAAAGGCTGTTCAGAAAAGCAAGAGAAAATGGCATTCATATTATTACCATCTCTGCCCACCCACTCCAAATACCCAACAAATCTTTCTGGACATAGCTTGATAGAAAATAATAATTTTCTGTACACAGGATCCTACCTGATTTATTTTTCTACCTTAACATTGTGCTGTGGATCTCTTGTCACATCAGTAAATACTGGTCTACATCCTTTTAAAATAGTATTGCATTATACAGATGAGCCATTTTTGAATCTTTGTTGATGGACATTTAGGTCATTGCCAATTCAAAGCTATCAACAATGAGATGTAGCATCCCAGCCATGTGCCTTTGAGATAGGCATCCTGCTGTGGTGATCCGCTTTTATTACCCAGCCTAGGCAGTGTGGAGCTGACAAAGGCTGACATCCTCCTCTCCTTAGCACTGCCCGCACGCTTATTGTATTCTAATTCATCTTTATGTGCTTTTTTTGTGTTTCTGCGTCCCCTTCCTCCTACACAGTCCTCTCAGGCTTTGTGGTTAGGTGTGGAGTACACTGTGCTCATTCAGCCCCGCCCTTTCTCATTAATAGCATGTGCATGGTGTAGATTGCTTCTGCAAGTCCCTGGCTGTCGGCAGTATTAGCCTCTGGTTCAGAACAGCTGGAGAGAAGCCGACTTTGCCTGTTTCATTCCAATTCTTTTTATAACAGTGAAGTTCCAGTGTGCATTGAGTTTACTTAACAGTGATGGTGAACATGTCTAGCTGCTCCTCTTTAAAATGCTATTCACACTTTTGGGAAGCTGGCTTAGCATTTAAGAGCACTGACTGACATCCCACAGGATGTCAATTCCCCGTACCCAAATGACAGGCAGCTCACAGCCATCTGTAACCTCAGTTCTGGGGGATCCAACGCCCTCTTCTAGCCTCCTTGTGCACACATGGTGCAGACTTGTGTGCAACATGAATGCAGAACAGCCATACATATAAAATCCTTTTGAAAGTCACATTTAATATTTCTCAACCCAGTGAGAACATACTGGTTTCCACACCTGGAACCTCTCACAGGAAGCATAGTAGCCATCAGCCACATAGCCCAGAGTACAGATAGCCCAGTCTGTGTATTCAGCTTTATGAGGGTATAAGAATGATAAGCAGTCAGGAGAGGCCAGACCTCAGGTTTTGATTTTTGGCCTTTCCTGGTAGTGGACTGTTAGTGCTGTTCTGTCTTGAGATCCCAGGCACAGCCATGCAATCACAGAAATAAACGAGTAACACTCCACGGTCTGCTGTGTAGCCAAGCCGGATACACAGGCCAGAGGGGTAAAATGCATTTTAATTCACGGTGTGTTTCTTTTTAGAATGGATTTATCTGGATGTTATACCTCTATGGTGTTCTCATGTAGCTTTCTGTAGAAGTTAGGCTACTGAGCTTATGTCAACAATTTTGATATAAGTATTTATATGAGGGGAATGGCTTTGTAACCTCCTTAGGCCGATAAAACTGAAGTAAGTTTAATGGTCAATATGAGGAGCAGTTAAAATGCCCTCATTGGCCATGCTGAACCATCTGCCTCTCTTTCTATCAGTGGTACAGGGCAGGAGTGTAAAAGAGTGGAGGGTTCAGGAGCTTCCTTTTCCTGATTTCAGAGTTGAGGGAGTCAGACTCACAAGGCTGGGATGTCTTCTTAGCACGGGTGTTTGCACTCCTTCTAGACTACTGGAGACCCACAGTTACCCAGGAGACCAGCAGTGTCATATATCGTCAGTCACCTCAGCAAGCCAAAACTTTAAAGGGACTCTGCAGATCACGTTTTTAGGAGTTTTTAGAGATTTCTGGACTCTTTAGAAGCTTAGGGAAAGTCTGGCTTGTTTTCTGTTTACATGTGGTTCATATGTGTATGTATGTTTGTATGTGTGGGGCACATGTGGAGGGTTGATAGTGTTTTGTCACCTCATTCATTGAGGCAGGGTCTCACAGTCAAACTCAGAACTCACTGCTACTGCTAATCTCATCAGCTAGCTTACTCTGGGAATCCTCTCTCTGCCTTCCTAAACTGAAATTACAGGCAACCACTACACCTACTTACCTGGCTTTTACATTGGTTCTGAGGATCCAAACTCCTATCCCTAGAGTGAGTGCTTTAGATGTTTGTTTTGCCTGAATATGTATGTCATGCACCATATAAGTACAGTGCCCACAGAGGGCAGAAGAGAGGTTTGAATCCCCTGGAATTGGATTTACAGATGGTTGTGAGCCACCATGTGGGTGCTGGGAAATCTAACCTGGGTTCTCAAGAAGAACAGCCAATGTTCTTAACTTCAGAGCCACCTCTCCAGGGTGCGCAAAGAATTCTTAATACCTTACCTAGCAGCTTGCAGATTTCCAGTAAGACATTCAAGATCTGACTCAGTCTCAGGTCTTTGTGAGTGGAATCACCTACGTATGTAATGGAGGGGAGCTCTAGGGACACATACTTAATATATAAAGGAACATTTTTTTTTCTTTCAGCACTGGCTGGACCATTCAAAACCCATAAAGAAACAGATGAAAGGTAAGGCAAAGACTCCAGTGGCTCACCCTCCCTCCCTCCCTTCCTCCCTCCCTTCCTTCCTTTCCTGCCAGTCAACTCCTTTGTCAAGATTTTTGAGATCTTTTGATTTGTAAATAGATCCTCTGTTAAATAGATGATTATTACTTCCTTTAAACTGGCCAGCGGGCAGAGCTTTAAAATTGAATGGATATTTTGGGTGCGTATTGAACCCACCTGTGCTCTCATTTCATATGAGACACCCCTGCCAATGAAAACTGACTAATGTACTATTCAGAAACCTGACACCCACTTCACTCACGTCCGAGTTTCAAAGCACATTCAGAATGGAGAGTAGGAAGCAGGAAGGATCCAGCTCACTCCTCACAGGTGTGGTAACCATATTTCTCTAATGCTGCTTACACTTAGATCATGTGAAAATTATATTTTCTTAAAAATACCTTAGGATATTTTTACTGTGTTTTTACACAGCAGAACACTTTGCTGTTGATGCGTCATCTGCTTCCAGCCCACTTTGTACTTTGTAAAACATGGGTGCCAGTTTGGAGTAACCCCATCAGAGACAGTGAAATATCAGCTCTTTTTACCCACCCAGACTCTCAGGGTTTTCTGCCAGAGTGAAGTTCCCAGCTAAACCATCCCAGTCAACCTAAAAGTTTGGTTCCATTTTTCAAACTCCACATGGAGCAGTGAGCTTGCTGTCATTTCGATGTGTTTCTTTTTGTCTGACGGGAGACAAACAACTTTACCTTTCTGTCTCCAAATGTTTAGTTGGACCTGCCTATGCTTTGCACTTTCGAGTCAAATACTATTCTTCAGAACCAAACAACCTTCGAGAGGAATTTACAAGGTAGGACATCACACAGTTTTGTCCAGTAGCCCCTGCCTCAGCCGGGAGTTGGGGATGAATTGGTGGAGTGGGGTGGGGGTGGGGGGATGATGGGTGGAGGTGGGGATGGGGTGCG